CGTTCAGCTAGGCTCGGCACCTGTGCGGACACGTACCGGGGTCGGGTGTAACTGCAAACAGCTGCTGCCTGTAAATATGAAAAGTAAACGGTTCCATGAAAAGGTGTGACTAGAGCATAGCGTTGTGCTGGTCTGCCCGCAGAGATGTGTTAGCAATTAGCGCTGAGAGATTGTCTCAGGAAAATGTTTAAGCTATCTCCTCGGCCAATGTAGTCATGTTTATTACTGCTGCGGTTCCAAACTTAGTATTTAGTAGACAATACATGTTGTTTGTTACAACGGAATGGATTGGATCTGATTTATTCACCTTTCCCTGTACTAGAACTCCAGGAGCAGTCACTTTGACACTCTAAGTTTTGCGTTATTTCTGTATCTTTATGTAGTTTGGTTAAATGTAATATTGTTTTAAGAAATAAACATAATGCTAGCAGCTCTATCTTAAACTCCCAAAAATCTTTAATTGTATGCCACCTTTCTCAAAGGTGCTGGTCCTAGACTCTTCCTGGTTCCGACCTTGTATATATTTTTTTTTTGGGCATTTGTCTCTCACTCCACACAGAGATGGGAGCGGGGTCGCCAGTACAGGAGGCGCATGCCAGATCTATTGTACATGTTTTTAGTGATAGGGGAAACCGGAGCACCCGGAGGACACCCACGCAGACACGGGGAGAACATGCAAACTCCATTCAGAAAGACCCTGTTCCGACCGGGATTCAAACCCAGGACCTTCTTGCTGAGAAGCGAGAGTGCTATCCACTCGGTCACCGTACCGCCCAATACGAAGTGACCAAAATTAATATAAGAAATACTACAGTTAAACACATACCTGACAATGATACACTTCTTATGTTACTTATACTTCATATTACAAGGAGAGTTTAGCACATCGAGCCCACTGGTACCAACCGTCCTTCATTCAATTAGAAAATATGTTTTAAAATGACCAAATCAGCTTTCTCACACTGAACTGGCCTGTCTCTCCACAGATCTGACCTTCAAAGCATTAATAAACTCTGATGATTAAAGAATTAAGTTGTAATTCGATCTCTAGCACATTTATACACCAGCAGAAAGAAAGATCGAAAAGGTGTCGGCTGAAACTATTGCCTGTTTAGCCGTTCATTTAAGAATTTACAGATTGAGTTCTTGTAGCCATCCAACATGATTTAAGTTTACCCATGCAACCAAGATCAACCCCTCTGACACATAAACAATATTTCATTACAATAGATCTAAATTCGTCTGTTCCTCTCAGCTCATAATGACCGTCTAAGGTATTTTTATTTTACAGATTAATGTCAATATAGGTCAAAGAATAAAGAATGTCAATGTTTGGAGATTTGTAAACATGCATTTGTCGGTTTGTTGGAAGTTGATCATGTGATCGCTCTTACCGCCTTCTTTTGCAGGATGAAAAGTATTTTATAAGTTTTATAAGTATTAGTATTGTTTAGAGGTGCAACGGTTCATCACTGATCCGTGATCCGTTCGGTTCAACGTCTTCGGTTCGGTACAGACGTGATCCGCGGTTTGATTTATGAAAAAAAAGTTGTGCGCACGTTGTTCAGTCCACACACAGCGCGGTCATTGCGAGCGGAGGAACGGAGATGCTTGAAAGCCCCGCGTCATTTAAATCCCCAGTATGAGAGCATTTTGGCTTCACTGTAACTACACTGATAATTAATATTCGACAAAACTGTCACGATGTGTAAGCACTGTGGCACAAGAAAGACATGAGTGAAAAAAGCGTCTCAACAACCACCTATTGTCGCGGCATTTAAGCAGCTCCTTTACGCACAGTCAGACCGGGCTAAAGTCAACTCTCCCACGCATCCTCAGCTGCGCTCACGACTGACGCTTGGACGTCCCGCGGAACCTATAATAGATCCATGAGCGGAACCGCTCACTTCATCACCGCAGACTGGGAGATGAAAAGTCTGGCGCTGCAGACACGCCCCCTCTACGACAGTCACACTGTCACACAGCGCAGGTACTGACACAAGCAGCGGAGAATGGAAGACAAAGGCCCAGTACTAATATCCCAGTCACAACTGATAATGCCAAAAATTAAATAAATGCAGTGAATGAGGCTGGGCCCAGAATGGACCCCCTCCTCGGGAGAATCAGGAAGGTGGTGTAATATATGAGAGTAAATATCCTCATAAAGTGCCTTCTTATGTTGCACTTTGTGTTGTTTTTCATTAATTATGTTAAAAAGACATAATTGGATGGATGGAATATGCCTTCCATCCATCCATCCATTTCCTTCCCCTTAATTCATTTCTAGGTCAGGGGGGGCAGTCAGAGCAGGTGCCGAGTCCACATGAGCTGTGTTTATTAAAAAGACAAAACTTTTTTTTAGAAAAATGAACCGAAAAATGAACCGAACCGTGGCCTCTGAACCGAGGTACGAACCGAACCGTGATTTTTTCAAACCGTTGCACCCCTAGTATTGTTAGCTTGTTAGAATGATCAATTTAGTTTTTTATTTTTGCTGCTACTGGACACCTGAATTAGTCCTACAGGGGATCAATAAATTATCAATCTATCTATCTATTATCAAGAACAAAAATATAACTCCGCCCCTTCTGTCTAAAGAGTCATGATGTGCCTTTTAAAACAAAATGTATGCCCGTACATTAAGTTTTCTAATTTTGCTCCCATTCTAACCAAAGCAATTCTGAAAAATGTACCCAAACATGCATAAAAAAGTTACAAAGGTGAGCTGAATAATTACACTTCCAAAAGGACAAATATGAAGGAAAAACGGCAAATATAGCTAGCAGCTAACAATCGTCCTTTTTGCACAGTATTTCGTCATTGCTACAGTCCTGGGGATCTGTGTACTTTAAAACGGGCCAATTTGGAATCCGACTTTTTGCGTTGGAAAGACAAAACTTTGCCAATGCCTGAATTTACTAAACAAACTTTGCGTTCCTCATGGCTGGCAGCACACTTGCCTTGTTACTTTTACACTTTTCTAACATTTAAAAAAAACTTTGTGTTTCTTCTCTCTGGGTGTTACCCCACCTTCTCCGCGCTCGGCACCATCCCAATTCACCCGATCAACACTTTTTTTTCCATTTTGTCGTTTGCCGCATGTTTACGAAGCCCTTCCCTGTATCACCGCTCGCAAAGCCTGCTACTCCCAGGCTTTAGTGACGGCAAAATCAAAGCCACCGACGTCCTCCTTTGAAACTTCCGCCTCGAATTAGCAATAATATATTTCAAGTGGCATCGGTATCACAAGTGGCAGAGGAGGCCGGTAGCATGCAGCTGTTCCCACCCGCACCCCTCCCCTTTCCCGACCCGTAACTTGGACCCCCCCCCTTTACGAACCCCTTTGCGCTCTTGTAGCCGGCTGGTTTTGAAGCTCAATTGTGCATTTTGCTGATAAAGTCGCGAAAATACTAGCGGCGTCGTTGCCTGGGTAACGCTGGTAAGGGCCGCTTCTCCATAACTGCTTAATTTAGGGGAGCTAATTGCATTCCACACAGTCACGGAAAAAGGGGGAAAAAAAGAAGAAGAAAAAAAAACTTGGTGGGGTGTGTTGGGAGGGTTAAAGAAGCTCTGGCCTTGAAAAGAGCTCAGAGAATGATATGACTGAAAGACTGAGAAAATTGTGCTTGATGATTTCATGAAAGTGTTTGGAATAGTGCATTTTATTGAGATTTTGAAAGTTTGATCATGTTTTTAATTAACCAAACCTTTTGTAATGTCAGAGAATTCCTCAGATGAGACTGAAAATGGTTTGAAAGATGTGTGTTTTTGACAATCGCAACAGTCGCTAAAATTTAAAGTTTAAATGGTAGGCATGCATGGCTATTTTTCAGATGGCATTGTCGTTGATGATGATGATGATGATTATGATGCATCGAGTTTTATATAGAGCTTTTCTGGACACTAAAAGACACTTCACACGCCATTATTCTTTCACTCCATACACTGTGGGGATTAGCCGCTAGTGTAGCCGCAGCTGCCCCGGAGAACATGGACATTGTTGTTGTAATTACCTCTGGATTTCTCTTTTGGGGAACGTTTGTACAGATTTGAGGCAGATCGCTACGTACCTTTTGCATCTATTTACCCAACGTGTTATTGTTTAGAAAGTTCTCCGTTAGCATGCTAGTTAATGCTCTCTGGTCAACAAAATATGACATGGATACTGTGGATACTTTGTTTCAAAATAACTTCTGTTTTTTACTCAAATTTAATATTTAAATGAGATGCAAATGATTTTGACAGTGTTATGATATCTTTCCTCATCAAAACAGACCTGAATTGTTTTTGATCCATCCACACTGATATCACGTATAGGCTCGATCGTGTAACTTCCTTTTGTCTAAAACCTCCTGTTTCAGTCTCGCAATAGAAAGTCATTGTACCACCATGACATATTTTAACGTAATTTTTCAAGTGAAATTACTCAAATTTGAAAACAATCCCATGGCACATCAGCAGCTGCAATGATACAACCATGAAAGGAAAGCAAACTCATGAGCGTAAACTCCTTCTCATCAGCATGTGGCATATAAAAATCAAATAAAAGTCTCTCTAATCTCCTCACATTATTTTCAACCAATAGGTGATATTCAATTATTTCCAAAGACACACCAAACAACATCTCAGGCACACTAACATTCCATGGCACAGTGCTTGAAAAACACTGAATTAAATGTCCCACACATTTATTAACATTTAGAGACAGTGGTCGTCCAGCTCCCTATGGACAAATGCTCCTTGTTATTAATTCTGTGTTGGTGAATCGACAGCTATGTAAAGTCCTACGAGACGGCCGCTGTTGTGATTTAGGTCTATACAAAAACAAGTTCAATATAAAATAACTATTCCCACAATCACAGGACACCACTGCTAACTTGACTTGATGTATGACAACAAAGATGCCGCGACAATCGAGAAACAGCATTCCACCTTCGTACGCATTTGCCGTACATTGTCTGGAGCTGTATCGCATTGATGACACAACATAAATGGACGGTATGCGAGTTGTAAACCGCACTCTTCTCTCCTTGTCTGCTCCATCTTCTCCTGGCTTTGAACCTCCCAAGAGAGTCCCTGTCCTGCCGAGAAAGCCGGCCCGTGACGCCTTTCAAGATCCGGGGTGTAGGAATGATTGGTAAACTGTTGAAGAGTGTTGAGGTTGCTGACACCGAAGCCACTAGACCCTACTCGCGACCAATTATCCGGCGGGCTATTGGGACGCCGCAACAGGCAACCACTTAGAAGACTAGTTTGGTCATACCACTTTTTACAATGGGCTCTGCAGCTGAAAGAGTCCGGTGAGGATTGAAAGTGGGAGTGAGTGTATTCCTTGCTGTGAGTAAAAAATTGCAGGTGATGATCCAGGACACTCGACGTTCAGCGACATTTATGAACTTTGTCAACGTTTATGGACTTTGGTCATTTGCCTCTTATGGATCAATGGTTCTATGTGTTTTTTAACATGGCATTTCTTGTGTTTGAACTGTTTGATTCTTATTCTGTTGGTGAATCTGCAGTTTTGTGAAGTCCTCTGTGTGTGCAAAAATAAATTGATTTGAAAATGAAGGCAATTTGTCTAAAAATAGGGGAAAAAAAGAGTTCCAAGAGCTGCCAGTAGCTATAGTTTAAATGTTCACCCAAATGTAAGTTTATACATTCCTCATTTGCGTCCATGTACCTAGGTTGTCGAAAGACTCAAATATCGATCCAAAAAAACAAATTGGATGCTCATTTGGTCAAGTTTTGCTGAGACACCTGAGATACGTTTCAGGATTCATGTTTTACTGTATTTCGAAACTTTTGTGGAACTTGGGAAACGCTATTCGGTTTTGAGTACGATAAAAAAGTGTTGAAAGAAAATTGCTGCTTTTTGTCCAAAGGATCGTATATTTGTAGTGAATGAAAAAAATATATGTATGTTTTTTGAACATTGTTGTAGTGTTTGAAACTATGAAGTATCTGTGTATGTAAAACAGTAATATTTCTTCGTTCTCTTATTTTTATTCTTATTATCACAAACCGCATGTCTATTAGTCTCAGCATTTTTGCACGAGATTACAGCTCATGAAGGAGAGGTGGGCGTCCATACGTTTTCTTGCTTCAGCCAACTCCTCCTGAGCTTGTACCAAATGTTCTAACTTGTAAAAATGTCCCAACACAAAAATGCATTCTTGTGTTGGGACATTATTGCTCAAATAAATTCATCAAACACTGAAGTACTGGATTTTTTTTTTTATTGAAATGTATTGTATAAAAACATAAAGAGACACTAAGGGACTTAAACAAACCATTTTTTATATCTGGGCCTCATTTATATCACCTAACATGGCATTCTAATTCTTGTAATTCTGGATTTGACAAGATGTCTCTCCATAGATCACAAAGATAACTTAGAAACTTGTGCAGATATGTGTAATTGTTTTGTGAATAATTTTCTGACCGAGGACCTCAACCAATCCAGGCAGGATGGAAAGACGATCCTGGGTTCTATTCCATCTCCAACAGTGCCTTTCTGTGTGGAGTTTCAATGTTCTTTCTGTGGATGCGAAGGTTTCCTCCAGGTGCTCCGGTTTCCCATACCACTAACAAAATTTACAATAGTTCCCCTTAACATCTCTGTTGGACTTTCATTCTTAAATACAGGTCAATAAGCGTGTGTATTCTAGAGGGATGACCTTTCTCCGGATGATTTCAGATGTCTTTATCAATAAAAATAAATAAATATTCATGTTCTCCATATGGGATTGAAAAAAAAACTTCAATTCAGTTCTGATATTTACAACAACAATTATAGAAGCATGCGCCAACTGTGTGTAACAATTTCTTTGGTATTCTGTTTATGTTGTATTTTTCTGTGCTATAAACCAATAATAATCATAATATCAATAATAAATGTCTGGATGTCTTAAACTCTTCCCCATAAGAGATAGTTGTAGGAAAAAAAATCAATCTTGGCCACTCTAGCAGAGACTAGCCATATACTAATATACTAGAATTGGTGTATGTTTGATTTAAGTACCACCAGCAGAAAACTGCAAGTGTTCATCTTCGATCTGGAATTTTCAACAATTTCTTACAATCGTGATTCTGAATTCATTCAAAGTCCGGAGCTCCCTCACCCGGCCCCCCCGCCTCCGGCTCACGCGTCCCGTCCACAAAAAGAACTGGGGGCCCTCTCCTTTCAAGACACCACTGCCATATTTTTCTCCCCCGCTCAACCTCCACCACCACACCACGGCTCGTCACGCCCTCCCCGTCCCCTTCTCTCCGTTCGGGCTGGGCAGCATCGGCTTGTGGAAAAGGGGGGGGTGGAGCAATTATATCGACTGCCTGGGAATGAGACCCGTGGCCCCCTTTGTGCTGCACAGAGGGCGGGGCACATTTGGGGGCTGGGTTTGGCCTTTGTCAGCCGGAGTGGTGTGGCTTCAGTTCCCACAAGAACCCCCTTGCAGCCCACCCCAAAAAGCACCCGTGACAGCGATTAGGTAATGTTTACAAAGCCTTACGCATTCACACTTCATATCCAATTGAAATAAAATGAGATATCAAGGATTCAAGAATTTATTTGCAATTTGCAGAAATACCAACGTGCACCAGCCAGAGAAATAGAACCCCCTCCTGCCACCCCGTCATCAAACACAGACACAGGAAAATCAGCTTTCTTCCACGATGGAGAAGCTGGTTTATCACCACAGATGATCTCAAATGTAAAATCAAACAAAAACATGTTTTTAAAAAGAACCCAAAAAACTTCATATTTATCCAAGTTATTCAGATAGAATCCGGTGTCAGTTTAGTTTACAAGACCTCTCCCTCTTTGCCCTCTGGACATTGTGGAATTGTCTGCACATTTCGTCAGACTGTCCGGACTTGGTCAGCTGCACTAAGTTCCAGTTTTTGCAGCCAACACTTACATTTATCGCTTGACTTTTGGAGTAAAGGGGGGTGCTGTGGTCAGTGGTTCAAGTTCATTTATGGAGCACCGAAAATGGCAAGATTGTTGTGGAGAAACCTTATTCCACTGCGGAAGAACTTGGAGAGATCTCAAAACTTTGCTATAAAGTTGCTAAACTTAGTTGACAGCCTATAATTCAGGCCATATATTAATGAATAATAAATAATAATGAATAACAGATAATAATAACAACGGATCCATCTGAAAATAGTGAAAGGACTGTATTTAAGAAAAAAAAAAAAATTAATATATCGATTTAAAGCAACATCTATTATGTCTAGCAGGAGGCAAGTTCTACTAGCAGCTGTATGAGTTGTAGTGGTCAGTCTTGAAAGACCAGAGTGAGAGTCCATAGAGAGAGCAGAGAGAGAGACCATAGAGAGTGACCCAAACAACAAAGAGAGCGCAAGAGATGATATTGTGAGAGACCAGGACAACAAAGAGAGAGCCATACAACAAATAGAGAGAGCAGAGTGGAGAGAGAACAGAGTATTACCAGACCACAGAGAGAGAGGAATACAGAGTACAGAGTGAGAGAGACCAGACAACAGAGAGAGATTAGAGAGAGACCAGACAACAGAGAGAGAGACCAGAAAAAAGTAGGAGTACAGAGAGACCAGAGAGCAGAGTGAGAGAGACCAGAGAGACAACAAAGAAAGAGAGAACTGAGATACCAGACAACAGAGAGAGAGAATACGGAGTACAGAGAGTGAGAGAGACCAGACAACAGAGAGAGAGACCAGAAAACAGAGAGAGTACAGAGAGAACAGAGAGCAGAGAAAGGAGAGACCAGAGAGTATCAGACAAAAAAAAAAAAAAGGAAAAAGAGAGAGAACCAGAGGGACCAGACAACAGAGAGAGAAACAGAGAGACCAGACAACAGAGAAAGAGAGCAGAGAGAGAGCGCAGAGGAACAGACAACATTGACAGATCAGAGAGAGACCCACGGGTGCAATAAAGGTAAATGTCATGTTAAACTAGCAGAAATATGTTTTGGTATGATTTGAGTATAACAAGAGCAAAACTCAGAAAGATCATAGATACCAAAAGAGACACAAGAGACACCAGGTTTTGTTACTACTAGTATCGTCCACTTTAATTGTTAAAGGAGACTTTTATTACTGTGAATAATGTTTGATTCCTCCCTCTTGCCCCCCTTCCCCCCTCCTTTGGGTTCCCTCATCACACTCACCGCAGAGCTCCACACCAGATCAACAATCCAACAATCCACCAATACAGCATAAAAACAACCTGACCTTGTCTCCATGCCAGATAGTTCCGTCACACCATGTACCCAGCTTGTGGAGCCTTATCTTCATTCTCATTCCCGTCCTGGTCCCGTCATTGGTCATCTTACCTCCACGCCGTCGTCCATGTCCTGGTCCCATCCTGGTCCCGTCTGGTCCCATCTTGGTCCTGCCCTCGTCCTGCCCTGTCTTGCCTCTGTTCCCCTTCTGCAACCTTTGAACCTGGCCTCTTTCAAATTTGATTTTGTTTAATAAATCTTGTCAACTCTGCATTTTGGGTCCCCAGTTCTAATGTAACACAGAGTCCCTCAGGATTGACCCCTGTAGGTAGAGATGCAGTACCCGAATCTCCACAAAATACTTTCTGTCCTTGTAAATAGGACCTAGACCGACTTAGGGCATGTTAGGGAAGTGCTCATGGACGAAGTTTATGGTCCAACTCACTCTGGCGTCTATTGACCATAGCTGTTCTTTGTTCGACGCCGACAGTTTTTCATTTCCTACATAGAACAGATTTTGGGGTTTGGTGGAAAAAAAAATGGGTGAAAATCTCTTGGCAATCATGAAAGTAGTACTTCAAAATTTGGTAAAGTGTTTATCTCGCGACTTGAAGAAAAACCGCCAAACTTCCCCAAAAAGTAGGTTACAAATTTTCCTCTCCAGAAATCCATGTTCAGAAAAAAGTTAAGAATGAAATCTAATCAAGTCAAGATAATTTTTACATTGAAATTTTCAAAGTTCTGCATGCGGTTCATGAAAGTTCATAAAATGTTGAATATTGGGGGAAAGTTGACTTAAAAATGACTGTGTAATGAATTATTTGCGTTTCTAACAATATTCTAACCTTTTATGTTTGTCTCTAATGTCTATATGAATAAGAACCCTTCCCTTTCTTAGTCCATCAAGCCAAAGCAGCCATTATATTGTAAACAAAATGTCCTAAGCAAGCCGTTCAACTATGACACGTGGCAATCCCCATCTCCCATCCCAGTACTAACCAGGCCCAGCCTTACTTAGTTTCAGAAGATTGACAGGATCTGGCTTTCACATGCAGATGATACCACAAGCATGACAAAGATCCCAGACACACATCTCAGGCAGTGGCTCGGCAAGAAGTGACATCACCCCCGATAGAAGATCTGTGGAGGGAGTCGAGTGTTGGAGATGGTGGATTGTACATGTGTTTAGAGGTAGGGGAAAATGGAGCACCTGGAGGTAACCTTTGCTAAATCTACTCAGAAAGACCCTGCTATGACAACAATTTGAATGCAAGACTTTCTGAGGGTGCTTTCACACCTGTTGGTCCACTAAAGTGGTTTGCTTGGGCCCTAAAGTTGTTACAATGTTGCAGTTCTCAACTAGTTTGGTTCTCATTCACATCAGTGTTTTTGCAAATGAACCAACCACTGTGGATGTTACATATTCTGCCACCCATGTGGTGGCGCTGTTCACAAAATACTGTGTATTGGATGATGTATGTGAAACCTGATTGGTACAGGATGTGAAGAGGGAAGAATACCAGAAGAAAACAAACTTGCCATGATCTTTAACGATGAACTGTGCTACTCTAGTGTGCGGGTATTTTTTTTATCTTCATTGCTTTGTGCAGCACAAATACTGTTGTTCCAGTTCCAGTATGTATCACAGAGATCAGCACGAGAACACTCTGCGGTTGTTTTTGACTATTCTATCATATAAAAAAAACAATGTGTGTGTTAAAAATTGAGATACGCAACAGAGCAGGGCCATATCGAGGCGGCTCAGTGTTCTCACCAGCAGCAAACCAGGCTGGAGTCCACATGGAACCGTACCAAGACCAGCTCCCTAAGGTGGTCTCGGTACGGTTCTTTAGTCCGGACCAAATTTAACTGGTCCACTTTCACACCTGCTCAAACGAACCGTACTTGCAGGTGTTCCAGACTCCAGTCCGTTTTAAGTGGACTAAATGGTGCAGGTGTGAAAGCACCCTTAAGAAGCGAGAGTGGTGCATAATTTCTTCATTTTGGTGCCATATCATAATATAAACATGTATGTAATGTATATGAAAAGGCCTTTTTTTATTTCTTACATTACAATGGCTGTTTTGGTTTAACGGAGGGAAGTCATCTTATTCAAACAGACATTATAGACAAATGAAAAGTTAGAATATTGTGTTCTTGAGTTCCATTAACACTAAGACTTCCAGAACTCTTGGAGTGTGTTTCTGTTCTCAGAGGAATTTTCATTTTGTTTTAGTTAACCTTTATTTAACCAAGAATAATTCCATTGCGATTAAAAACCTCTTTTTCGAGGAAGTCCTGCCCAAAAAGCAGCAAAGTCACACATAAACACAACAGACAGATAAAATTACAGGTACACACATCAAGTAAAAACATTACATTACAATTATTGAATGAATTAACAGCTTTAAAATTAAAAAAAAAAAAATACACGTCTTTGTTACAATTGAAAACATATCTTTTGTATCAAATATTTCAAGTGAATATTAAAAGTGACTTTGTTTTGATGTACCAAACAAAGCTTCCCCTTTATTGATCCTTTTCAGGGTCGGGGGGTGGCCTCATAGCACCAGTCCCTCGCTGATCCTCCTGCAGGTGGTGAGTCCACGGGATGATGGCTTCTCCGTCATTGAAGACCTTGGCCTTGGTCGTTCAGTGGGGGCTTCAGGCAATGTGGGGTTAAGTGTCTTGCACAGGGACACACCGACACCAGACATCAGTGGGAGCAGATGACATGGGTTGTGGTGCAGATCGAACCCACGACCATTAGGTCCAAAGACCAGTGTGTACCAAACATATAAAGCCTAAAACCTTGTTAAACTGTTGTTGAACCTGTTTGATAGGCTCAAATAAGGATTTCTTCAGCCTATTCCAGTTTTTGGTCATTATATTATATCCCAAGTTTGAATGTTTTGTTGATGTGATGCCCAAAATCAATCAATCAATCAATCAGTTCCAGTGTTTAACAATGTGTGCGCCCCATGGAACAACATGCAAACATTTCGCCAATAAATCACGTCTTAAACTGTATTCATAAATACGGAACAGCGGCAACTCTTTCCTCCATTAATAGAGCAGGCCAATAATAAAACCTCCAGAGTCTAATACTGCTCCCACCAGCACAGTCACATACAAGACAATTGCAGGCCTCTCTTAATCACGTCTTTTTATGATAAGGATGTTACCGTCTGCGGAGGTGAAGTTACATTCTAATAAAGCCCGCCGCTCGTAATGCAATCTCAGAGAGCGCCGTAATTGCCGACTCTTTAGGGCAGTGTGTAATTCAAT